CGGGTCTTCTCTCGCATCCCCGGCACCACGACACCATCTCAAGACGGCAAGGTCTACCTGACGAATGGCTTCAATGCTATTGCCGGCGGACTTCGCACTGCCGGATGGTCGGAACTTGACCTTAATGCGAACCCAAACTCCAAGAACCGCACGTTCGGCAAGACGCCGTACATGTACTCTGGCGGAGAACGCGGTGGCCCCATGGCGACGTACCTTCTCACAGCAAGCAAGCGCAGCAACTTCAAGCTGTGGACCAAGACGGCCGTCAAACGTGTTGTCCGGACTGGTGGGCACATCACCGGCATCGAAGTCGAGCCGTACTTGGACGGTGGATACACCGGAACGGTCAACGTGACTAACATCTCGGGCCGAGTAATTCTTTCCGCAGGAACCTTTGGCAGTGCCAAGCTTCTTCTTCGCAGCGGCATTGGCCCACAAGATCAGCTCGAGATCGTCAAGAGCTCCACTGACGGGCCTACCATGATCTCCAATGCATCTTGGATCAACCTGCCTGTCGGATACAACCTGGAAGATCACACCAACGTGGGTCCTACTGAGAACTTTGGAGGGTATGAAGACTGAAACTAATTGGATCTAGACCGATACCGTCGTCACGCATCCCGACGTGCAGTTCTATGACTTCTACGAAGCGTACACTGACCCCAACGTCACGGACAAGAATCTCTATTTGCAGAAGAGAAGCGGCATTCTGGCCCAGTCTGCGCCCAACATTGGCCCTCTGTAAGTTAAAACATGCCACTCGCTGATATCCGTTGCCTTTGCGCTAATGCCATCTTAGTTTCTTCGAGGAGATCAAGGGTGCCGATGGTATCACTCGGCAGATGCAATACACGGCCCGCATGGAGGGCAGTCTCGGTGCCCCCGATGGCAGTAAGTATTCCTTCCAGGCCCACCATTGTTTGACGTCTGAATATTAACACTTTTCACAGAAACCATTACCATCAGCCAATACCTCGGCCGTGGCGCAACTTCACGCGGCAGAATGACCATACAGGCCAACCTCGGCACCGTCGTGTCTACCGTACCCTACCTTCGCGATCAGAACGATGTCGAGGCCGTCATCAAGGGCCTCGAGAACCTGCAGACCTCCCTCAAGAGCGTGGCCAACCTTGTCTGGAACTTCCCTCCGCCGGGTACGACGGTCAGAGACTATGTCAACAATATGCTAGTCTCGTACTCGAACCGTCGCGCAAACCACTGGATTGGTAAGTTGACTCCCCACACTCTCTCCTAACCCACACTCGTCTGCATATCGAGATCGCTGACAGACAATCTCGGAAAAGGTACGAACAAACTTGGGACGAGTGACGGTCGCAGCAAAGGCGATTCTGTCGTTGACGTCAACACCAAGGTGTACGGCACAGATAACCTCTTCGTCGTTGATGCCAGCATCTTCCCCGGGATGGTCACCACTAACCCGTCATCGTACATTGTGGTCTCGGCCGAACACGCCGCCGCCAAGATTCTTGCCCTCGCGACCTCGACAGCGCAGCCGCTTTATGGGCAGTGTGGGGGATCGACATGGAATGGCAGCTTCCAGTGTGCTACTGGGCTGAAGTGCACCATCAAGGACGCCTACTACTCTCAGGTTCGGATTCCTTCTTTTTCTTCATGTCTCCTGCCCCAATCTCTCTAGCACGTCGTTCGAACGAGATGACGATGATACTAACGTGATTGACAGTGTCTTTGAGTGGGGTTTCGAGGCAGGGTATCCCAAGTCGAGGAGCGCACGTGGCGCGCTTTATTTCCCAGTTCTATCCACCATGCTTTCACGTGTACATACTTCTTTTTGGCGCCATCTATCTTCCGAGTATATATTTCCATTGGATTCCTCGTAACCCCGAGGTATATATATATCCACACTTGACTTCAACAAGCGCACGCCGTTTCTTGACTGATAAACAAGTTCTTGTTTACCCCTCGGTCCGGTGTTCTACCTAAACATGCGCACCAATGAAAAAAGGACATGGCACTACGCCTAACCCCACACGCCAACTGACGTCGTATCTGAGATCTCCCGGCACCTGGATCATCCCCAATTCTGCCTCTTTCTGGGGAGAGTCGTGTGGTCCGCCCCTCTTTCTAAGGTTTTGTTTTAGTCGACATTTCCCTGTTCGTTTACTTCGGAGGAACCACGTCTGGCCGTGCCTGGCAGTGTTTTGCCATGTGCCTGTTGATGACGACTGGAGACACGAGAATATTGATGGGGCGGAAAACACATGGGATGAGCGGTGACTTAATTTCCCTGATTCGGGCACATGGAGTTCAACTTGAGTCGCTCGCCCAGCTTATCAAGCTTTCTGATGGAAAACCATAAGGTACGAGTATGGTCTGATTCTGTCCACTCTATCCGTACCTTATTCGTGATGACCCTCGTGACCGTCTATTCGGTGGGTGCAACCCACGCGCAACCCGGCCCCGAAGTCCCCGGTGCCTTGCATCTCCCGTCACGCCTTGGGTTGCCCTCAAAACGACACTGGAAGCAGATCTTCCAGCGACGGGAAAACTCTAGCGCCCCCTGGCACGTTCCGTGGTGACAGTGCGGTACTGCAACGGCAGTGTGGGATGGCCGAGCAGTCACCAGTTACGAGCCAGAGAAACCTTGATTTAACCTCGGCGCCGGCCGTGGCGGGGGGCAGTTCGTTCGGGCGCGTCTCTCGTAACTGGACTAGACTAAGCTGTAGCGCATCTCCATCTCGGGGTGTCTTCGCCGACAGCTTCGCCGTTACTATCGTCGCGCGACGATACCCGCCCCGCCATCACAACGCTTGTCCAAGATGAGAATGACAGGGCCTATTTCCACCACACCTATGACGATGGTCAAGACACGACGTTGCGTTTCCCCAGATTGCGGGGTGTGTCAGTCAATCTATGTGGGTTTGACAGCTCCCGAAGAATCATGATAAAAAGACTCGACGTCCCCGAGTTCAATGCAAACCTATTCTTTCTCTCCTCTCGTGTGCCTCAGCATCCTTCTTATTCTCTCCACCTCCCTTGCACAACGATGCCCTCCCTCAAATCCCTCCTCCTTCTCGGCGCAAGCCTGGCCGCGACCTCGGTCCAGGCTTCGCCCATCCAGTCTCTCGACTTCAGCGGCACCTCCCTCGCGCCTCGCGCCGACCCGAGTCTGACGGGCTACCTCGGTGCCTTCTTCCTCGGCGCGGACCCTTACGTATACCTGTACCTCTCCAACGGCAACAACCCGACCTCGTTCCGTGCGCTCAACTCTGGTTCGCCTGTGATTCGGCCGACCAAGGGGACGGGCGGTGTGCGCGACCCTGCCATTGTTGTGGGCGGTGGCGCGGAGAAGGGGAAGAAGTGGTATATTGTCGGTACGGACTTGGATATCGCAAAGGTATGTTTTTGCTCATGACTCTGATGGGGAAGCCGGGCGCTGATCGTGATTTTACTTAGACTACTTGGGATGCGGCCCAGAGACAGGGGTCCAAGGGCATTTTTGTCTGGGAGAGCACGGATCTCGTCAACTGGAGCAACGAGAGACTCGTTATTGTTGAAAACTCCAGCGCCGGCATGGTGTGGGCTCCCGAGGCCATCTGGGATGCTGCCAAGGGCCAGTACCTCGTGCACTGGGCCTCCAAGTTTGTAAGTCCATCATCGCCTTGACAATGCTTCTCTCTGAGACTGGTGAAAACTGACCAACGGCGTCAATAGTACCCCGCCTCGGACCCGAACCACACCGGCAGCCCCGGCGCCATCGTGATCCGCTATGCCTACACCTCGGACTTCAAGACCTTCTCCACCCCGCAGACCTACATCGACAAGTCCCCCACCAACATCATCGACCTCAACATCCTGCCCACCGGCACCGACGGCAAGTCCTTTGTGCGCTTCCTCAAGGACGAGTCCCTCAAGACCGTCTTCGTCGAGGTCTCCACCACCGGCCTGTTCGGTACCTGGACCCGTCCCGGTGGTAGCTCTGCTGTCATCGCCAGCGGTGTCGAGGGCCCTGCTTCGTACTGGGATAACCAGGTTGCGGGCAAGGCCCATGTTTTGCTTGATTTCTATGGCGATGACGGGTATAGGCCGTATGAGACGACGAATGTGGCGAGTAACTCGGGGTGGACTGCTAGTTCGAGGACTGGGTTCCCTAGTGGGTTGAGGCATGGTGGTGTTTTGCCTGTGAACCAGACTATTTACGATGCTTTGGGAAAGCGTTGGGGCTAAGGGGTTAGGAGATGAAGAGAGGTTGTAATGAGTGTACATAATTGAGCTGGGTTGAGCTTCGGAATGAATGTAATCCTCGTCAAAGGTTCCATGATGGTGTCTTGACAAGTTTACGTTAGCCAGCGGGATTAGTCCTAGATGACAATCATTGTAATATACACTTGAAGATGGTAAACATTCGATACGAGACTCGTTGCACGGCTCTCGGAGAATATCTGTAGCTTGCATGCTGTCTGTGGGTAGGCGATACCCGCCAAAAGTACAAGACCAGGCCAAGACCGACGAGCTTGTACAGAGGAATACGTCGAGGCAGGGGCAACCGCGGACGGCCTTCCCAGTTGTCCAAGATATTCCGTACACCCTTGACATAAGTTCCCTAAAGGGATAGGGTCAAAGGTGATCAGAGTACGATAAGAAAATGGAGAACAGAGTCAAGACGCAAAAATAAGGTATCTGTGACTTTGTGTAGGGCTACCAAATTCGAACTCGCGATTTTGCCGAAACCATACACTCAATCATCCAGCACTACGCCATATACAATCCAGGCGCTGCTCAAACCTATCTCCTCTTTCCCATAACATATAGAGTTTCAGGTGTGATTATCCTGCAAAGATTCTGCTGAATCATTCCCGGTTCTTCTTCATTGACTGCTATTGTCAAAATCACACGCTACCACATTCCCAGCTTTCGGGGGCATGCGAGAGACGATATCTGCCCATTCTGGAACAAAACAACAATCTCTCGGTGTTCCAAAACAAAGTCAACAACTCTTCGGATTCTCTCAATCTCAATTCTCACTCTTCCGCCGAACAGAAGTCCGGTAACAACCTCGCTTCATTCGGATCCGAGCAGGCCTGGGCTAGTGAAAGCTGATATTGGAGCTTTGTCAACTCGAGCGACTCTTCTGATATGATCACGGACTTGATGCCAATGTCGTATGATAGCTTCGCGTATATGATAGATGTGAGTCCAAGGATGAAGCCTACGAATGCAAACAAAGCGGCTGTCGTAGCTATCCAGAAGTTGGCCGACTCGAGCAAGTCGCTCTTATCATGTCTTGGCAGAAATCGCCAGATTCCGCTGCGTGGACCTTCGAAGACATCTATGAGCTTCTCAATCTTGGGACCCCAGTGGGGATAGTCCTTCAGGTTCAGCTTCCGCTCTCGACCATACCAGCCCAAGCTGTAGATTCGCTGATCTCGTTTCCGCAAAAATGTTTCGGTGTCGCGATTGTTATGCGGAAGCAGTAGATTTAGAGTGTCAATAGCCTCACACAGTATCTCTTGTGGTATAACACAATATTTCTCTTGGTTCAAGTGGGCTGAGAGCCAGATCTTGTGCTGAAAAATTGAGATCACTCTAGATCCGCGGCTGACTCGATAATCCAGGTGCTTATCTAAACGATCCGTCCAGTCAACTCTGCACTTATTGTAACGGGCGAGATTACTGATAGTGAGCGCCCTGTTGATCGAGAGGTCTTTGAGCACAGATGATCGCTGATATATCTCTCTCACATTGTCCATCAAGGACGAACCAGCCGCCCAAATCGTTACGGAATCCGGGCTGATCGCTACAGGTGCTGTAATTTGAATCTCCGCCATGATAGCCAGTGATGCTGCTACACAGACAACTCTGGTGGCCTCTTGGAGAAGATGTTCGGGTAGCGCAAAACGGTTCTTGACCACGTCCATGATCTTTTCGATGGGCTGTTTGTCTAATTCCCGAACAGAAGCCATGATGACACCGAGCTTCTCAACATCATCGGTGCCAGGTAACATGTTGCACAAGACTTTACGCACTCCATCCAGTTCTGACCTGGCATACGCCGTTAGGATAGTGTATTGTCCTGCGTCGAACACTTCTCGTCCTAAAGCCGGCCAAAGCTTTGAACAGAAGGCAGGGTCTTGCTGGGATACACGCAGTCTTTCGCGACCGAGTGCTTCCATAATCTGTGGACAATAGGAGAGCTGAATATTCAATTGAGCAGCGCAGGAAGAGGTTGTTGAATATGTGGATCTCCCGTGAACGGAGCTATGATAGCATGGCAGGATGTCAGGAGGAACACAAAGCGCTGCTTATTGATCTTTAGTAAGACCTATGCTTTGGGCCATTCTCAATTGTGAGTGGTCAAATTCTGCATGTAGGTGTGACAGTTGCTCCATTGCTCACATGCAGGCAGCTTATCAAAATGGAAGTATTGAATCTGCCTTGCAGGCGAACCAACCGTCCAGGCCCATAATCGTACCCGTGACGTCGTTGGCTAAACGCCCTCCAATTTCCACTCTCGACCCCGCCCATCTCTTGAGCAAACTGCCTCGTTTCCAGCAATTCTTGAAGACCGAATTTGGCAGTTGCATGTTTCGCGCAGGCATAGCGAGAGCATGGCTTCCAGAACTGAGGTCGAATTGATGATGAAGTGTGAAACGGAGTCAGCTTCATCGCAGCACGCCGAGGCTTCTACTCAAGACCAAGATGGCTCAGCTTCAAAACGTCTGGAAATTTCGTCTTGGACACAGCGTACTTTGAAAACGACGACGAGAGGATTGCTGATTCGAGGTGAGCAGCCAAAGCTGCTGCAAATTGGCACCGAAAGTCCGTTGTCTGTACCACAGACGGCATCAAACGCAAGCCCTTTCACGACGAACGAAGTGACGAGCATTTGCGAGCCAGCATCCTTGACCGCAAAATCATCACAGACAAGGAATGGTCCTCCCGACTCTCAAGCAACATGTCTGCGTGATGAAACATTTTCGGTGTCGACGAAGTCCAGCGAGATATGGAAATTTCCTGGTTCTAAGGCCTGGGTGGCTAGGGAGAGCAAGTTTCCTGTACCTTCCCGCATAGAGTCGAGGTGGCCTGAGCTGAAGAGTCGCCTGCTATTCGATCTTCGGGAAGTCGAAGACGAAATGATCACGGAACAGGCCAACGAAAAGAGTCGTCTTAAAAGGTCACTAAACAGGCGAAGGATATATCCCGAGCTGAGAATGTCCGGCCGTCAGGACATGAACACGCGATTTTCGGAAATGGTTACCATCTCGCCATGTGTTTGGATACTCTGTGGCAGCCAATCATGTCGGAAAAAGGTTCGCCGTATTACTGATACATTGTGCCTGCCCGTCAATCTCTTCGAACAACGCCGCATAGAGGTACACGTCGGCGCTCCTGAGCCTCACGCCAACCAGGGTTTCATTCCTCTCTCGCGACTGAACATTCATCAAGACAACGCCTTTGGCCTGAACTACATGGGAGGAACTATTCTGCACCATCTGGAAGCAATTTCACCAACTCCTGAGCATCAGTCCGCTTGCGGTTTATTGTGCTGCACAACATTCGTTAAAGACGGAAACATAATAACGCAGCACATCTCTCGTATTGGAGGTCTACTAAAAAATCAGTTCAAAGACAACATTGTCAATCGTCACCCTATAGCGTTGACGACTTCACATGGAATATTCGAAGATCTCTGGACCGATGGAGTCGAAGTCGAAGGTTTGAAGGATGGCGAAATCCCCAGCTTATGCGATGGCTGCATGGATGATGAGGGCACAACCAGTTCTGACATAGATTCCGACACAGATTCCCTCCTTGAATCTACAACAGACACTGTTCCCTGGCGTTCTAGTGGTCAAAAGGGCTTAGGGGAGAGATGCCACAATCGGGTGGCGGAGTGGCTTCATGTATCTTCGCAGGAAGTCGTCGGGATCAACTTCGCCGGACAAGTTTTACCGGAACCAATTTCAGCTAGGGTCAGGAGACCACGCAAGTCTAAGCCTGGGGATTACACCCTATTGAGATCGCGAAATTTGGCGGACTTGAACAACACCTCATCGCTAATTCCCGAAGTTGAAATTGTATCCTATCTAGTGAATTCAGATCTCACACAAGGACCCTTAACGGCGGTCTTCGGTGTCGGCGATTTGTCGGAAACGACTTTGCTTCCTGGTGGTATGATGTTACCACTCGGGCAGGAAGAGTTACCAGTACGAAAAATCGAACTTGTGGCGCCGTTAGGTATGTTGAGTTCAACAGTCTTCCAGGATTAACCATACAATCACTGACTGAAATACCACTTTTAGCAGCAGGCACGTCGGGCACATGGTTGATAAAAGACTCTGCACTAGCTGGAATCATTGTTGCAGCTTATCCAGGCCAACCGCTCGCCTTGTTCGTCACAGCACAAGATCTACGACAAAATGCTGTGGAATCATTTCCTGAAATACGTGCGAATTTTCTTCGCGAGAACAGCACATTTGTTATGAACGAACCGGTCCCAAACGCCGGCCGTCCAGCTGCAATCGAGGGCGGACTCGATGCCTCAGCCCTGGAGCGTACAGATGGAACCGGTCTCAATGACGAGTCTGAGCCGACAAGCTTCTGGTCACGGACTGAAGCATCCTCCTCAAACTACATAGAATCTTATGGTGGCACTCAGATAGGTCTGTGACATTATTCCCCAAAGAGATAGTGCGAAGATTCGGACTAGTGTTGCTGAACATCTGCAGAACACTTCCCAGGTTCATCGTTGCTACGCACTCCAAGCAGCGAGATACCAAATCAAGACAGTGGACGTAGGATATCCGACCCAGCTCCACTTGAATCAAGTCGTGGTTTTCTACCATTCACGAGTGAACGAAGCGCGCCCAGCGGCAATACTATCGAACATCCTAGGCCGAGGATAAGACCGAGGTCAAACAGAGGTAGCACCAACCAAACAAAGAAAACTTATGTTCAAGTTTGGACCTGCGTAAGTCCTAGATCCCTAGAAGTTAATGCACGGAATAGGTTCACTTACTCTTGGATAGTGTACGTGTGGCGATAGTGGCATGACAATAAGAGTAGACTACTGTCCAAGTTGTCAAGGTCGTCGTTGTACGAATTGTTCGGTGCATTACGGCAGAGTACGATAGAAGATACACGTATGTAAAAGCTGCAGCGTACACTAAGGCAGAGGGTGTGGCCTTTCTGGGCCTCAGGGACTACGATCAAACGTATCATGCAGTCACAGCTTAGTGCAGCAGGCTTTTGTACCCACATAGTAGAGGAATGATCTGTGTGCGTGCTATATGGAAGAAATATGTGAAGCAGGCGCATAGTCGCTAAGTAGGTGTTGATTCTCATAATTAATTGTTGGGCTAATTACTGGTATGGTCATTTTATCTAAGGTAAGTCGACGACAGAGTTGCACCAAGATGCAGCTAACGAGCGGATGCCTCGTCGATTTGCTCATAATTAGACCTATGATTGGTCTCGCATCTCAGTAGTCAATGCGTAAATGCCTTACACTACCTTAAGTATGGTGCAGTAATGACTGGTCCTGAATTAAATCCATGAGTCGCTATGTCAGTTGTTAGTACTCTCAAGGCGAAGATTTGGGATGAACTATTCGATGAGTTCGCCAGGGTCAGCAGCCGGGAGGGAACAAAACTTGTGCCGCTTAGTGGTTCATCCGCCTCCTTGCCAACCGGGTACTTCTCCTTACAAGTTGCAGTGTGTTATAGCGAGTCAGCAAACGGCGACGTGAGTCGCTAGGAGTGTTTGAAATGGAAGAAAATTTCCATTCCGTCAAACGCCAAGCTAATTCCCTGTTCCAAATTCGTCTGGAAAACTCATCCGTCAACTCAACAAATTTCCTCCCCTCTTCAAGCTCCAACCCTCCTTGACAAGCCAGAATGAAGCCATGACTGGTGTTGTAAGAAGGCCGAGAAGTCCCCCAAGGATCCCTTTGAAGGCTTCGGGTGCCCACTTGGATTGGAAATACCAGTCCCAATCATTCCCTGAACCCCGGGTTCCGATAACAGTCAGAATTCCGACAGAGGCTGGCCAGAGCAGGAAAAATGAAACAACAAAAATCAAGCCGATCCGAATCAGGTGTTCAGCAAACACCGAGAGTCTGCTTTTGGTGTGTCTCGTGTCCTCTAGGTTGAGCATCATGAACCACCGCATGAATGGTTGCGAAGGTTCTTCAATGAAGCCTATTGGGCGGACGCTCCCATTCTTCATGTCGCGATTGGCGAGAAAAAGTTCGATGAACCACGTCATTGTCGTTTGGATGATCATGGTTATTACTGCATCTCCAGCCAGTGTGTTGGGCAACTGAAATAGGCGAATGGGATTGCGCGCGATGTTCTGAGTTGAGTACATGCCTGCATGGTTTGTGTCAATAAACTCTCATGTTCCTGCTTGGTTCGCTAAAAGCTTAAGCTCAGCAAAGTGTTGCGGGGCCTTACCGTAAGCGATAGCAAAATTTATGCCCCCAGAGAGAACTGCGGCTCCAATACCGTCGAGACCAAAGATGTAAAAGATCTGATGTCCACTGATGCTATCCGTTGGCTGCTTCTGGTGAGATCCGGCAGGCTTGACTTGAACGCCAGCCTCGATGTCGCTTTCATTCGAGACCCTCTCATTAGAGACTCTCTCGTTGCTACTGCCGCCGGCATATGTTGAGGCCGTGTTGTCTTCGAACGACTTGTCCGCTATGCGTTCGTGTTTTCTGAATGGCATATTGTCTGAAGGTTTAGAATAGAGCCTATCTCATGGAAGGAAGGAAGTTGCAAATTGTCGAACCAGGACGCGTCTTTATTGCAAACTATGCTATCTGTCTTTGTTTTGAAGAGAGCAGCTTGTTGTGGAAGAGGGTGTGAAGGGGGGGGGCAACGAGCAGGGGGTCTGGAAGGGCTTTTTCCCTTTCTTTAAAGGGGGTCCTAGGTGACTCGTGAGGCTGCTTCATGATCGCCGAAAATTTCCGGAATGACCGGGGGAGGCTGTCGAATATTGGTCGCTTTGGCGTTTCGGTCAGTGGGCTTGTGAGGTGACACGGGTAAGAGAATCAAGCGAACTGGTAAAATCCACTAGCTTGACTAGCTCCTAGACAGAGTTGCACTGATGAAAAGGGTCCGTGATCTTCGCTATCCGTCTACGGATAGATGTGGATGTTTGTCAGCGCACAGACTAGATCGGGAGTGCCGGGGTAGATGGAGACTGGCAGATTCCCATCTTTGCGTCAGAGTTGCCATGCATGGCGGTAGGTGAGCGAATCAGGTGGATTCTAGATTCTTGATTTCCCGTTCGATTGCGTTCTCCTGCATGATCTTCCTGTCGAAAAGGTGTTCTTCCTTTGGGGAACAGACAATGGTTGATATGCAGAACGTATCCGAGCTTGGGTTCCAGCCAAACGTGGCTGTGCAATGTCAACGACTTGCGCTGTTGTTTAGAGTTAATCATGCGAACCAGAGGAGGAGGTTGGAGAGGAAAAGAGGAAGGGATTTCATGCCACGATGGTCCCAGTTCTCGCCAGGCGAGTGCGGTCTGCGACCGGAACTAGCCCGTGATCGACAGCTGGCAGCGCCGGGTCTTTGGATGGGTTGCCCATGTAAGTCGGGGGCGGCCCCACAGACACCTTACTGATCGCCTCCGGAGCGGATGGGACCATCCCGGATGACACGGCTGGGAATAGGAACTACTCCCGCCTCCACCATTTGCTCAGTGCCAACAAAGTCTTGCCAACATGGATTTCCCCACGAACTAGTCTCCATAACTATCCCGCCCTCCAGGCGATCACACAGTGCATTGGGAGTAACACGATAGCACCGCCGGCGACCCAGAGGTCATAAAGCGCATCGACGGGTTACGTCTCATGTCTGAGGAGACACACTGGGTTTTACCCCTCCCTTAGAGAAAGAAAGACCCATCATTTATGGTGTTCCATGCAACAAGATCGAATGAAAAACCAAATGAAGCCTAGAACATGAGATCAATGACTCGGCATCCCTTGAAACATTGTTTTCCGTACATACATAAACGTGGCTGGCCATATCCGCTCGCGCCCTCCGGTACCCCGCCCCCAGCTTCCTCTTCGACGTGATCAAGAGGCATTTTACGAGTGCCAGGCGCACAGAAAAGAAAGCCTGCAGTATTCATCGTCTGCGCAAGTTGGGCGAAGCAAATCCGTCTTCGCTTTTCCCTGCTTCTGAATACTGGCACGATGCTCAACGGCTACGAGTGCGACCCTGACGATAAGATGAGGCCCCCATCAATGGACATTGACGAGAAAAGCACCGCCTTTTCTCAAGCTCAAATCTCAACACCTGTATGACTCGGCAAACGCCAGTGCACCATCTGAGTACCCCAAACTGACTGCGATATCCGTCTAGCCGGCACCAACGAGGAGACACACAATCAACACCATGATGACTACCACGATCATTCCAGAACCCACACCGCCGGTCGCGGACGCTCAACGGCGATTCTCTTGGCTGCCGAGATCCGCCACACCATCCCTGCGTAGCCCCACATTCCGCCGTCGAACGGCGAGCCCGTTTGATGACGACGATTACTCATATGCTGAGAGCAACCCGTTTGGAGAAGACTTCAGAGAGCAAAATGAGCAGGCTGCGCGAGATTGGGATCGTGAGCATGGTCACGATCACGGAGAAAATCCCTTTGAGGACTGCGAGTACGAGCTGCCGCCTGCATCGGCGAAGAAGGATGGGACTTGGACCAAGTTCAAGAAGGCTATGAGTCCACGGCGCGCCATCAGTAAGTGGAAGTATCGCAAGGTCAAACATGAGAGCATGCGACCTGGGCCTGATGATCCAGACCACGGAGATGGCAGCCATCATCAGGGGCAAGTCTCTTGATTTTGACACAATTAGTCAGTCTCGAAAGGGCAGGATGCCTGTCACACTACACTTGATACCACTCGGGGCGGGGATTGCGCTACAATGTTTTGCTTTCTTTCTTTGAGTCGTGGGGAAAACGGCGTTGCCTTCGAACAGAAGTGTTTTGATACCTAGTTGCCTTTGAGTTACCTGAAGCGAGTGATCAAAAGACAACCAGGCGTTGTCTAAGTGCGCTTAAAACAATCAAACCCAGTTGAATGTTCAAGTTATCTCGCAAAGAGGATTTTCTATCATCATTGGCGACCAATTACAATCAACTTTACATTCGAGACATGACATGATAGATCACACGAGACACCAGGGGCGAGTACTAAAACTTGTACGATAATTCAGGTCTATCGAATAATTGTTTTCATCGGTTTTCGAGCTTTAAGCTATAGCTACAGATTCAGGAGTCGTCTCATCTCATTACCCATGGCTCCTGGGTGCGGCACAACAATTGCACCCGCCTCCTCGAGTGCTTTTGCTTTAACATCGGCAGGCACATCTCTCGCTAAAAGAATAGCACCGGCATGACCCATCGTTTTCCCTTGCGGCGCCGTTCTCCCGGCGACCATTGCAATTATTGGTTTTGGGTTAGGCGTCAATTTTCTGTAATCTCTTATGGCCTCCGCTGCTCTAAGCTCAGCTTCGCCGCCAATCTCGCCAATGACGATGATTCCCCTGGTCTCTTCATGTTCAAAGAATAATTTGAGCCCATCTAGAAGTGTGGTACCTTACACAGCAGATCAGAGCATATCCAAGGGGTATGTGAGGTGGAGGTTTCTGGCTTACCTGGCATCATATCTCCGCCCATTCCAACAACGATACTCTGTCCAAGTCCAGCCTTGGTTGTGGCTCCTACAGCTTCGTAACTGAGCGTTCCACTTTTGGAAACAATCCCAACAACGCCTTTTGTGTACTGCTTGTACGGCATGATGCCAATGCGGCATTGGTCGGGTGCGATAATCCCGGGGCAATTGGGTCCTACAAGTCGCGTTCTACTTTGTGTTCGGAGAATGTCTTGAACCCTAGCCATATCATGAAGGGGCACATGTTCAGCAACTGAAAGGACGAGCGGAATTTCAGCCTCGATTGCTTCAATGATTGCCCCTGCTGCGAATTGGGCAGGAACGAAGACTGCGCTTGCGTGTGGCTTCACATCTTTTACGGCCTGTATATAATATTTCGTCAGCTGAATCGCATACCGCAGAGGATGTTGAGGATTTCGTACTTCTTGTACTGTGTCAAACACTGGCAGGCCGAGATGATCCTGACCACCTTTCCCAGGGGAGACGCCCCCAACAATCTGCGTGCCATATTCTATTGTGTCTCGTGCATTTTTGGTGGCCTATCAGCAGTCCATGTCAGCTTCATAGAAGTCACATTGACTTCGTCAATGTATGGTACGCACTGCTTTGCCAGTAAATCCTACATAATAGTCGCTTAGCAAACCCAAAGAGTCTGAGAATAATTCGATGCATTGACGCATTATCACTTTTCTTACCTTGATATATCACTCTGGTATTCTGATCAATGCTTAAATTGGCAATCGTACTCTCGTATGCACCTCGATGCCCGGCTGTGAATGAGAATCCCCTAGCAAGTTTAGGAGCGCGAAGTTTTTGAGACAAGCACTTGAGTTGGGGAGATAATTTCGTGGCCATGTTGCCCTGCGACACTCTCCACCGTGTCTCTCATGAAGCTAGAGAAACAATATTTTAATTGATACACGTACCTAAAGCACAGAAGAGGAGGGTGAAAGTCAACATCAAAAGCAAGCAAGCAAGCATGGATGGGGCCTGGAATGGATCGGTTATGTAACTCCATATAACCGAATTGCAGGCGTAGTGATGTCATTGGCGCATTCAGATCCCCGCACTCGGCTATACCCAGAAATCAGTCTCGGCTACATGACTACCTGCACACTTCGAACATCTTCGGACAACATCTCATGAGAGCCCAAATCCTACTGGGGACATCTCGGGGGTACCTACCTAAGCATGAGAGGAAACGAGCGTGGCTTTATACTTGGCGACTCTTCGAGGCTAAATACATTCGCGCCCGGAAAGACTCGTTGCCCTTCGGCTGGCGGCTATGACAAACCTCCGCAGGAGAGCGCGCCAGGCATGTCAGGCTTGTAATGCGCGACGCGTCAAGTGTAATGTAACCGAGCAAAGACCTTGTCGCAATTGCACAACAGCCGACACGCCTTGTGAGCTCCGTGAGTCGAGACGGGGCAAGCATCCTCGCCCATCACGGCGAAACGCAAAGCCAGACAACCAAGGCGGGCTAGATCAGGCTGATTCCTCACCTTCTTTTATCGATACAAGTGTTCTTGATGAGTCAGTGGCGACTGGAAACGATGAGCACTTTGCCGCATCTCAAGCACTTGCCGATCTGGCAAGATATCGGGATGTAGAAGGCTTGGGCGATCAGACATGCATCACAGTGCAGCCTCAGTCACCTTTAATAGCACCAAACAACGGACAGGAGGACGACAGCTCGGTGTTCCTCGGCGAGTCATCCTCAATACGTTATGTCACCAACAGCAATCCAACGCCGCCAACAGCCGGTACATCACCACCAGAAAACCTAAGGTTTCTGCATGCCGTTCCTCACGCTGTAAGAGCTGACAACTTACTGCCGGAATGGGAAGTAGAGCGCAGAAAGTCGAGGATTAGTTCTCTAAAAGCAGAAGGCGCCTTTTCATTTCCACCTGTGCCAGCCGTGGAAACGTTGCTGAAGGCGTACTTCCAATGGTTCCACCCATGCTTCCCTGTTGTGGATGAGGTAGATGTTTGGACGAGCTTCAAGGATGGCACCTTATCCCCTTTGCTCCTACACGCGATCCTCTTCATAGCTGTCATTCACTGCAAGGAAGATGATCTACCAGCCGTTGGACTCGGAGGCCGTCATGTTGCCAAGTGGGTGTTCTACAATCGCGCAAAGGACATTTACGACGTCGAGTTTGAGCCAAAAAAGTTCACAGTCACCCAAGCTTTGTTTCTTATGAGCTTTTGGAGAGCTGGATTGCTCCTAGAGAAGGACGCCCGGCACTGGCTTGGCGCAGCCATCAGTCTTGCTCAGACGAAGGCGCTCCACCGATCCTCGAGATCCGCTGTAACCGAGAAGAGGACCGAGAGACTTGCTAGACGCTTGTGGTGGGCCATCTATGTCCGCGAAAGGCAGTGTGCTGCAGCATTGGGCCTACCAAACCGGATTCGAGACGAAGATTGTGATATTGAGCCGTTAGAGCAACTTGATTTCGAGCGTGCGTTTGACTCGACGTTGCCGATTCACAAAGCCCAAGAGTATATCGCATACTTCATCAGCATTGCTCAACTCTCTAGAGTACTGGGGAAGATCGTTCATAGCGCATACCTCCCCAGCAAGTCACTATCCCCGAATGATCGGTCTCAAATGAGAGACGACCTCGTGAGATGGAGACAGCAACTTCCTGCAGTCATGTCCCTCGCCAACAACGAATTTGATGATGCGGCGGGCTTTCATGCCAGTATGTTGCACCTGGCATACAACAACCTCCTCATCCTATTGTACAGATCAGGTTGCATTGGCAGTGCTGAAGAAAGTCAAGAAGTCGACGGGCAGATCGCCCTCCAGGCTGCGGCAAGGAACTCCCGCATCATCGAGGATATGCTGCTGGAGGGGGATCTGCGTCACGGGCAAATTCACGTCATAACGAACCTCTTCAACACGCTTTGTATTCATACGGTTCATCTTCGTTCTTCAAATGGTGCCGGAAGGGCGATCGTTGAGCACAGAGCGAAAGTTTGTCTTTTGGGCCTGCAAGAGCTACAAAAAACGTGGGAGGTTAGGATGTGGGTGCTGCAGTTATTTTTTCAGTATCTGGATAGATCTACGGCGGCGCGATTACGGATGCAGGATGATATCTCTTTCGTATCTGGACTTGACAGTGTGCAGGATGTCAATAACAATCCGACGGTGATGGGTGGCCTCAACCATGGCTCGGCTGAGCATAATGGGGAGGATGGACTTGATACACTACTAGCGTCTGAACCTCCATGGTCATGGTCCACCGAAGAAGCGAATCAATTCCTGTTTACACAGATTGAAAATGACTTCGCTTTCGGCGAGGGAGGCATATTGAATTGGAATACTGGCACACCGGCTACCAATTTGCCATCAGTCGATAGTAACTCGCCGACAACTGTGGGCTTCTGAATACAACGTGTCAGATGTTCTTGGAGAGAATTTCGTTTGCAAAAGACCAGTGCCTGTGACAAAGCTTGAACACCCGGTTAATATGGTGAACTACATCAGAATCAATAGGCTTTATCATACTTCCGCAAGCTATATTCGTCTTCAGGTGTCTGAAACTAAATGAGTTGCTGCCTCTGCAGGTGGCTTTTCCATCCACTATGTATCTGTCAATGCAATGGCTTCTTTACGCCGTTGAGCTGGTATTTCTTCACTTGACATGCCTTCACAGGCATCCTTCTACCTTAGGACCATGTTCTACCTTAGGACCAAGTTTTGTTCGAGTGCATCAAAACAATCTTCAGCCGATTGACTAGAGAATGGGGATGTGTCTGGTGTACTCGCAAAACTTGATGCCGCCTCCGACACACTCATGATCGATTGTGTGGAATCTTCTGTACTAAAGGACAACAACCTCGCCGATCTCGAAACACTCTTTCTATCAGAGACCAGCATGGAAATAGGTTTGGTGGCTGAATGCGAGAAGTAAGACGATTGCACTGGAGAGCCCACTGGCTTGACTGGCGGTCGTTTCACCCGGTCCTTTGTTGGGGATAGCTTATACTCCCTACTGCTGACGGCAGCTGCTGGTGAAAGAGATAACGATCTATCCCTCCGGTCGGACTTGTCAGGAGTGCCAGATGAACTCGGTATTTTGCCCTCCTGCTCTCCGGTGTCAGTCACAATCTGGCAAATGTTATCGGGCTGATCACATACAACAGGAGATTCCACAGATATACAGGGAAATCTCAATGGATCAGACACGCCATGAGTCCCACTGGTCGCATAAGCTGCGTCACGTTTGCTCTTCCGGATCAACTCGTTAATTACAGGCTGTATTCTCGAGCAAGCCCATCTCTCTTTAGCATCTGGCACAAGCATTGTGTACTGAATAAGGTTCAGCATTTCATGCACAGGCTCAGCACAGCTCTTCTGTTGATGCAGGTCATCAATCCACTAACAATTTTAAGTAAGACCGCGGTAGGCATACATCACTAGGAGAGCGACGGCTTCGTTGGGACTACTTACATCAGTGACGGATGTCTTTACATCAGCTGTCGAGGCTGCATCATCTTTACTTGGATTGAAGTTGAAGAACTTATCTTCAAGAAGAATCCTCGATCCAGTATGCGAGCCATCTTCTTGGAGTCGAGAGTCTGTAAAATCTTTCTGTGTTCGGTCGTGGCCGACAAGAAACCACGATACGAATTCGAGGAAGACGCAACCCAGGGACCAGATATCATACCTCTGCGATATCGTTCTTTTTAGATCCACATCGGGAGGCCGATAAGATCCCGAGAAACCCTTGACTGCGTCATAAGCGACTTTGGACCTGGAATCGGCAGTGTTGAATCGAGTTAACCCAAAATCAGATATTACAAGAAAGTTGCGACGCGACTCTTCGTATTTCTTGAACCAAAGAATGTTTTCTGGCTTGATGTCGCCATGCCGACCCCAGTGTTTGTTGTCAAGCAAGACATTTGGGTCGTTAGGAACAGGGGCGTAGTTGTCTTCTTTGGACATAGTCCTCAGATTATGAATTCTTCGAAGGGCGCGGACAAGGCCTGAACATTGGCTTAGAAACCAGACAACCTCAGCTTTGCTCCCTGGGTTGGCGATGGTTTTGCTCCAAAATTCCCTCAAATTACCATCCGCCCAAGGAAAGACCAGATAGTAAGATTGGCCATATTTATATGTGAGCTGAAGCTGGATCAAATGGTCAGGGTCTGGACCTCTTGATCCCACTCCTAGTCTTTCAAAAAGCTCCACTTCTCTCGCATACTCTTCATGAGTTTCAAGATGAAGCTGCTTGACTGCGAAATGCCGGAGGACTTTCCCTCGTTCCTGAGGAGGAATTAGAAAACAAGTGCAGTTGTAAGAGGAGGGTTGTGACTTGCCTTGGATGTAGTGTCGCGACTGTAATGAGCGTGGTGGATTCTGACTTTTCTAACGCTTCCATAGCCGCCAATTTGAACTAGGTCGTATTCCTGGAATGGTAGGATTGTTTTTGATGTAATTTCGTAGTAGTGCACGTCATCGCCTGGAAGTTTGAAAAAAGGTGTGCAAATTGTCTCCTGGCACTGAACAAAATTGTTGATGTGCTTGGTACGCCAATGGTTCAAACAACTCAAGACCGTACCGTCCTTCTTCTGAAGTTGGATGACAGGTTTGTGACGCAAATTCCGTTTTATTTCTAGCGGCAAAAAGCTGTCATCGATGTCGTGTTTAATGAAGTCTTCGATCAGCTTCACTTGCTCCATCAAAATCAAGATAGCAAATATCTTTCGTCGCTGGGGCTGGGCCTTGACCTCATCTGGCTTGCCGCTGATACTGGAGACCCAACTGTTGATGACTTTGGGCTTGAAGTGAGGGAATGCATGCCCCAAAAGCCGTTGTACGGCCGTCGGAGTTACGATGCGGCGGAGTGCATCGAGAGGCAGAAAGCCTTTATCTTCCGAGGCTGAAGTTATGCTGGCGGCAAACATGGCGTCGCTCATGGTCTGAACATCGGCGTCATCGTTGGTATTGTCCTCAGGCCGTAGTGCAGGATGATGAGAATGTAATGCCTGAGTCCCAATACAATCATTCGCCATCTCTGATGACTCCCACTCAATGTAATCTGAATGCCCCATATCCTGCACAGGCACGATACTAAGGAAGCTGCAGTTTGAGGCTCCAGCATCGGATGAACAGCCTCCAAATGATCCTAGGTTCCGATTTCCTTCGTTGATGAGCGGCAAGTTCCCTGCAACTTCTTCGTGACGCGTTTCAGTAAAGTCTTCGTCGGTGACACTGATACGCCATGAGAAGAGCAAATCGCTTTGACTAGCATCTTTTGTCCCCACTTCTGAGTTTTTGGAAGTCGAAACGGAGTGTCCGAGCTGAGGTGCCTGAATCTGATTCGACGATGTTATTCCGGTCGTTGGTCCGTTTGAAATCGGGGATTCGGCGATGGGTTCGGCGATGCCCAAAAGCTCCCGATCGATGCCTGCTCGCTTTGTGGGATCCATCCTCAATGGTATCTCAAGGCGGACAAGCTATTGGAAGTGGAACAATCAAGTTAACGTGACCAAATTGGAATCTGTCTCGTAAAATGAGTGCAGGGCCTATGCTGATGACCTTGAGATGGCAGCTAGCAGACAGCTGAACAAATCATGTGCGAATATCATTGCTGATGGTTGAGTTAACAAGCAGGTAATATTTGGTAGACCAGATGTTGGTGCCAGACCCCGCAGCTTCCATTTCACTAGTCGCCTTCAGCGACGCTGGATTTTAATTACCATACACCACATGCCCATTCCCGTACCAATATGGTGGTGTAACTGAGACATTTCGACCGACCAAAGCGGGCGGAAAGGCACTGCCCTATTTGCCGTGATACTTGGGCTCCCTGTTGTGCTCTCTTCTCGTAGCCTACCTCGAGTTGCATCGGCAATAGCCAATTAGCAGATGTGATGCTACACCACCTTTTCTCATGTCACCGAGACGGTTAGAAGCTAAGCCCCCTGCAGGTATCCGGAAAGCCTAAGAGGCGTCTAAGGGAAGTCTTACGCAGCGGGGGGCTTGGGGCTGAGCGTCAAGGTGGTTCGCCATAGGCTGCAAATGGGACCAACACCGCATCACTCGATCTTACTTGGCTTACCTGGGCAACTGCTGCTTGCAGCCACTCATATATCGTTGAGACTATGATTCAGGAATCACCGAGGTCATACCTCCGGTCTTTCTTGATCAGATCAGGCTATGCCAGCCGAGGTTAGCAAATGATCACGCACGCGAGCATAGCCCCAGCGCCTCCGTCAGGCAACTTTCCGAATTTGATGTGTCTATTTCAGTCGCAATGACACCGCTAGCCGCCTGACGTGGCGGTATTTACGCATGTCTAAGGCTGGGAGATTGGGCTGTTCTCGGTATCTCTATCTGTGTTTCTGAATGTTGTTTGGATCGTCTAGATTTAAACACAACAACCGCTCACTGAAGCTTGCGACCTAGAAGCCAGCAAAGAACAGCACCGGCCTTGGATACACTGCTCAGTGATACAATGCCGCAATACGCATCTGTCAAGGATTTTGAATCAGGTCACTACGATCAGCAAGAACCTGTAGAACTACAAATTCACTCGAATCTCACGAGCTCTTCTCAATTGCTACGGGCGCTAGAGAGACGACTACCCAGCGGCAGTTATACTGTAGAGATGCGGCATAACATATACACGGTGCGAGTCCATAGTCAGAAAGCTCCGTCCGAAAGCTCGATGCTGAAAGCAAGTAAATACCGCCTGTAGGATTACTCTGGTATGTGAAGCCGGCGGATGAAGTCCATGACTGCAAAGCTCTAAGGAAGCGGATGCTGATTCTTCATATCATTAGTACATGTATGATTCATGAATGTTAGATCTATGAGCATTTGATTCTAAGAGATGGGCGAAAGCGATATGGGGCAGCGCAAACTGCGCGAGCTGGACACTCGCAACTATCGAGAACACGGGCTAGACTGCCTAACAGAAAGGACAAATGATTCCAGCATGGATTCAGCAGGAATCGAATTGGAGGGAATTCAAAGGACTGAAATATTTCACCTAATTCACACCGAGAATGTAATGGCGGCCATCGGCATCGACATCAGTCATTTGATGCCTAGGCCAAGTCTCTCGATTCGTATTTTCAAGACCGCCTCTTCACAATGCACAAATAACGATACACAACACACAGTGATAACCAGCTAAAAGTCAAATACTTGCTTGATAGGAATAAGGTCACCTAAAAAGTGATCTGGAAGAAAACAGATAATATCCCACTTTGACATTAAATTCATGAAAACCAGGAGATTTTACGTCAAAAATTCTCAAAAACCTACTGCACCTCAACGTTGAGCTGCGGCTCTCGCAGTAGGATGTGCTCAGCCAGTAATCTTCCTACGCCAACGCGCTCATATCGACCACCTTGTTCTTCAGATAGCCTCGCAATGACAAGAACATAATGTTCTGGCTCCCGGGTCAAACCCTCTGTCTTCTCCTTCCCAATTACAATGCATCTCAACGGATCTATCGTATGCAGCTTTGACTCATCGAATCTTACTCTTTTGAGGAGTTCGATGGCATCCAAGCTGATACGGCTCGCAACGCCACGAAGGAGAGGAATCTCACTGCCCTCGGAGACTTCCCAATGAGTTTTCTTCCCGCTGTCGGTGTTGAAAGGCGTAACAATATCTTTGGTCCAGTTGATATGTTCGAAGGGAGCCTCTAGATAGGCTATCGGGCCTTGATATGCCATCCAGGACCAGGAGGGGACTCGCCTACCCGGAGGATATGAGATTCTATCGAGTGACGCATCAAGAGCTTTCTGCCAAAGGAGACTTCGTTGAAGGTATTCGTCGAAAATTCCAAATCCTCCTTTGGTAACAAAGTCCTTTACCAGCCTCTCTTCTAGACCCTTGATTCCAATGGACCGATCGCTCGGTACTGTGAATGCGAGCCGGGAATACATCTGATAGAGGGTTTGGAATGTCACAATTCGGCCTCCCTTGAAGTACTCTAAGGCTGATTTAGGGAAATCGGAGTCCCCGAGAAGTGCAGCTTGTCGGCTTGTTGCACCAATGTCAGCTATTAGACCTCCAAGAGCCAAAGATCTGGGACTTACTTAGAAAGCTTCATTAGAGTCTCACAATGAACGCCCTTTCCGCATTCCCAATACACCTGAGATGCTGTGAAGTGAAGTGTTCGGCGCGATAATGCCCTCTCTTGTAACACCCATCCGCGCTGGTTGAGCACAGCTTGTTCGACATCTTGGTGAAAGTCGTCAATCGACTTGCGCACAAAGGTAAAGCCACTGTCGGGTCCCTCCAATGTTACGAATGGATGTTTTGCTTTCTGTCGCAAGAAGCCTTCAGCCGAAGAAGACGCTGCTGTAGCTGCGATAGTGACATAAGCAGAGCTGAAGACATGCTCCATGCGCGTGGCCTCAAAGGCCCAATCCTGCTTATCGTTCTGTACAATGCAGAGTGAATCAATCCACAGGTAGCGTAGTCCCAACGCTCTCGTGATTTTGACCGCGTCTTGAAAACTCTTTGGAAGAATGCCGAAGTCAATCCGCTTGCGAAAGACATCGATATTCTCCTTCAGGGTGCGAACTTGAGCTTGAGAATTCACTCCCCAGCAGTGGCTCAGGGCAGTGTATCGTTCGAGTGGAAGAAACTTCCCTTCGCAGAGATGAATAGTAGAATTCGGGTCTGTTCCAACATCAAGGACGCGAGTGGGTAGCTCGGTACGATCATCGACGCCATGACTGTGTTGTTCGTCACACACGCGCAGCCATTCGTTCAGCAGAACATATTGCTCAGGGGAGCCTGTTTCCGGTAGGGTAGGAAAGCCAATCTGTGCATGTGGCGGTATAGAGCCGCCAGTCGCTATTGTTGTTTCCAGTAAGCAGGCATGTTCGACCAACAATGTGAACGAAGTTGCACCCGATGCTTACCTGGGCTGACATAAAGACTCAAAATGGTGGGACCATCAGGATCAATCTTCAACGACGATCCTTCTCTTCGACACTTCAATTCACCGCCATCTTCTATGCCAAGCATTTCAGCACTTCGAACTAGGATGGCGCACAGCTCGCAAGCCTGAGATCTGGATTTGAGATCTCTAAGTCGTTCACAAATAAGAAACATCGGCGTCCAGATATTGTACCCCTTGCAATTACTGCATAGTGTGGAACCTTTTGGGGTCGGGAGGGGCGATGCGGATTTGTGATAGAATTCACTAGCGAAATGGCTATCACTCTGCAACTCCCACACATCTCGGAAGTTGTCAAGTTGCTGATGAGAATTAG